ATCTGAATGAAGCAATGTCACATGACCGACGTGTTTTACTCCAGTGATTTGGAAAATGTATAAAATGTTATAATTCATTCTGATCTGCTGGGACAGTAAGCTTTAACGCCACACTTCACTTCAGACATATTTCACACTCTTTATGGCAACAACTGATTTTACATTAATGACAATTTTATGACAATAGAAAAGATGAACATTCATTGTCTTACTAGTTCTTTCTGCAAAGTCCTCTTCAGTTCTGCCAGTCTCTGCTGCAGCTGCTTTATGGTCTGCAAACATCAGCAGAGAGTTTTATGTGTGGAGACGAGTTCACCTTCATGCATGTAGTTGTTTTCATTCATAGCTCGAGGACCAAATGTGAATTGCCAAAAAGCCTCTGACCCTGTTCTTGTCGCTGAGCTCTTGCTCCAGCTCTCTGTTGACTTTCTGGATGTGATCCAGGTCATCCACGGTCACGCTGCCGTTCTGATCCTCCTCACAGACGACACTGTGACTGTGAAGCTGCTCGGTCAGGGTTTCCACCTCTACTTCCAGGTAGGAGATCTAGACAGTTCACACCAAGCATGGACTGTTAATTCAGTCTGATTACAGCACGCAGTCCGTCTCAGTTTAACAAGAAATCCCATCAAGATAAAATCGTTCATGAGTGTGAATGCCTGGATCACCTGCACACCGATCACATATAAAATACAGCACAAGTATGTTCAAAGATGTCTGAGCGTGTGCAGGTGCTGACCCGAGCCTGGCAGCTGTCCAGCTGCTGAGTCTGTGTGAGCAGCTCCTCCTTCAGGCTGCTGAGCTGGGAGTCTTTGTCCAGCTCCACCTGCTGCAGCTGGGCTCTCAGCCGCTCAGCCTCCTCCTGCACCTCCACCAGGGAAGCCTGTCGCCCCTGCACCTCTGCAACGCAAACACAATATTTTGGAGACATAAAGAGCTTTAAACTCTTATTGCTCTAAAGCTCTTTATTAAGCGCCGTCTCTTTAAAGATCTTTAGTGCACACGCGTGTACCATTCTGCAGCGATCTGATGTCGTCCTCTCTGAGTGCTAGCTTCTCAGTGACAGCGGTCACTTCCTGCTGTGAGCTCTGTAGAGCCGCACTCAGCTCTGCAACCTGACATCAAGCACAACACACACAAACAGTGAGGTGATG